TTAGGATCAGTTGGTGAATCATTAGAAGCCGTAAAATGTGGTAGAAACGTTTTTATTCCATTTTGGAATGCATTAACAAAGTACAGTTACTATCCGTCTGCCAAATTCAAATCTGAGTCCTCTAAACTAATAAATACAAAATTCAGTGATCGTTATTATACAATTTAATTTATAATCTTCTGATATTGTACTGTCGTGTTCTGACTTTCAGATCCAGGATAACACCTTTAACTTCCAAAAGTCTGAATTATTTAAAATAAAATTAATTTTATCGATTGGTATATAAATAGGTGATAAGTTAGAGCATTTTTGTTATTTCTATGAAAATATAATCACTAACAGTGAAATTTCTGTCGACATTCCTGTGTACAGAAAAAAAAGCGAATTTTCAAATCTAAAAGTTATACACTATTCCAATTTGGTATTATTGTGAAAAATTGGAGTTATTCCACTCCACCATATAAATATTCACGCCAAAGGCATAAAAATAGAATATTTTAAGAGAACTATCATTTCTCCTTAATGAATTTTAAAAAATAGTTGCATTTTGACTTTAGGCGTTTCTATATCAAACTGGACTATCCACCGAACATGATGGACAATCAAATAGTGGGAGTTGGGTAGGTACTGGAAGAGTAATAGTTCAAGGCGAAAATCCATTTTAGAAAAGTGTGATCTAACTGTTTTGTTCATTTTTATTTGTAGTATATATGTCCTTGATAATTTATTTACTGTGTACACACGTGTAGGTACTTGTGTAGAAAACATGTTGAAACTATCTATAATCTTGAATTCAACAGTTAATTAATAAATTCACCTCCATAGATTTGCCTTAACATCAGTAATTTCAATCTTTCAATCTTTTTTCTAACGTGAATTGAACATTTTCTCAACGAGTCTCAGTAAGTTGCTAGATTAGCATGTAAAAAAACCAAACTAATGACATTTATGATCATAATCATTTCTACACTTCAATGCATGGGAGTAAGTGTGCATACTTGTAAGATAAGGATAGTTAAATATAGTTATGAAATGCAAAATCTTGCATTTAAAAAAGAAGATATTCAAAACAAAGATGTATAAACAAATAAATATATATTCTAAATGAGAATATTTAGAAAACCTGTTCCTCATGAGATAGAACCTGGAAATTACCTTGAACGAATTTATTTCTGAAGAAAAAAGCATTAAACATCCAATTTAATGATTCTTTACCTTGTTTGTTTATCTGAGAGTTAAATATAAGATATTTCAGAGTGGGGTAAAACAAATTATCAAAGTGCATTAGGATATAATAATAATCTGTTCGTAACTGAAAAATATAACGGCGTTTCTTTAAATGGTATCCAGTTATATAAACAAAGCTACACCCATGGTAAAAAATATTTTCATTACATCTCTACAACGTTCTTTTTTTAACTAGAAAAATGATGGGGGAAATCAGAGCTTATATCCGTTAAGATGATCACGACAATAGAGAGCTAAGTTAATTGTCCCTCAAATATATGTTATTAGGTTGTTATTAGGTAAGATATCTCCGAACCTAAATGACTTTCAATGAAGTTGAATATCTGAAGAGAAAACTACCTAATAATCATGTTATATTATTCACTAGTTAGATGCGAAAAAAACCATTAATACTGTACATCAACTTAAAAAGATTAGATTCATTTACTTATTCATAATCTTAGAACTTGTCAGCTTTGTGTATTTAATTTTTGTATTAGTGACTACATAATAACCCTTCAAATAAATACCACTCTAAAAAAACCCAATGTCCATAACAAGTGTAAAATAATATTACGGAAACGATGTTTTTTAGTGGCTTCACTTTGTTAATTCATCACCTCGATTACCGTTATGATATAAATCTATTGCTGTTTGAAATCAGAAGGCCATTAGATGTGGCAACTATAGCTTATTAACTGACAGTGCAGATCACAAAGCTATAAGCACATCAGGCGAATTCGAAGCAGAAGTGAATAATTATATGCAAGCAAATACATAGGCAAATTGCATAAGGGCGCGGAAAGACAATGCCGAGTTCAATAATGGAATTTGAGTGCATACATACATGGGGAGGAGGATGAACTATCGAGTGATATTTAGGCAATCAACATTTTAGTTAGTCTGTCACGCGATCTAGTGATCATAACAGAACAAAGAAACATGCGGACTGTTACTGCTTAAACGACATTGTCTGTTAAGTAAGTTGATAAAAGGGCTTAACCTAAATTAACCATAATCGAAATTGGTTATAAGATAGTTGCTATATTTTCAAACTTGTCTAGATAAATAGATTATAGGTTAATCATACTGGCTACAAATAATTTGGTAGTTCTAAAAATGTTATAAATTATGTATGAGTTTGATTAATCAGGTTATAGTGAACTATACTTATGAATGTTTTGAGAACTTTTGATTTCATTAAGTTTTCATCATTGAATATTCAAACCTTCAAATAAAATTAACATTAGGTAGCTACTGTTAATAACTAATGAAACTCCTCTGATTATTGCCACTTGGTATACGACGGAGCTCAAAACAATTTCATGTAATGTATGAAACCATTTTCACATTTTTTTGGTGGAGTTTTGTTCTCTGAGCTGGATGGTTTGGTCGTGGAAATTTCATCATCAGCTGCTGATGTTGTCGTTCAGAAGAGCGATGAAAGCTCTACGACCAAACCATCCAGCTCAGAGAACAAAGCTCCACCAAAATGATTCACATGAGCTACAAATCTTCTCCATCATCTCAAAACCATATGATTGTAGTTAATTGTGTTAGACAAAAAGTGATGTAACTGGTCAGACCTGTTTAAAATTTTGTGATTTTTCAGCCTGTTATCAACATTGTTTTGATACCATACATAATTTATGTACAAACAATTTACGTAAGTTAAACATTTAAATAATATTTGTATCAATTATAACGTTAATCATGTGTCCTCGTATGACATCTTGTTACAAAAAAAAGGAATAATGTATCGTATAAGTAGTTTTGAAAATACCAATTGCTATAACAGTCCAACTACTCGCTGAAAATCAGAATGACTAGATTGGACTAACTTGTAACTTGCTTTTAAGAAGGCATCTTCAGATTCTATCTGGATGATTATCGATAAAAGAGAGTTTACAGATTTGTTAATGATATATTTCTTCAATAAAAGTGGACTTGATATAATTAATTGCAAAATGTAGACCTAAAACTATGTCATTATTCTGATCGGTATAAACCTCAAGGGTACTGCATACAATGAATTAATTAATTTTTTTGTTATTCATGTACACTACATAGTAACGAATTGATATTTTGGAATATACGCTTGTAAATGAAATTTACATGAGCTCCTAATTCAAATGAATAAAGATGCGCTCGTTTTTTAAATCAGTGTCATGTTGAACACATTCCTATTTTTACAGACAATTTTTAGCAGTAATTGGAATTAGTCAAGGAACCACTGGAAATCAAAACGTACTGAACAGAACTAATTTAAAAGAATGCCAAACATTCGTCTCCATGTATTTCAGCAACGACGGAAACGTTTTACTGAAATGTAGTGACCATGTACTTCCAACTTCATTTTATTCACTACATATAGTCGGACATTTATTAAATTTCATTAGCTGGTTCTGTCTCCCTCCACTTTTGAGTAACGACACGACTCATGGCTTTTCAGTGGAACAAAGTCATCGGTAGGTACCAAATACCGAGCAGTAATAAACATTTTTCGTTGGCTGAATGGATCTGAGTAAATAACGTAACTAGGTGGACTTCGAAGATATTTAGAAATAAACCAAATGTTATTAATCTTCATTGATTAACTTTAAAAAAAAGTTGTTTTAAAATTGAATTTAATAATATAATAATATAATATATAGCAAGAAAACTTGAATTCATACACATAACATCATAGTGATTGACTCAACCCAGTAGCTAAAAAAATAATACCAAGGGTATGAAATGATAGGTACTGAATTTAAGTCACAGTGTGGACATTAACACTGGATTCAGATGGACGCAGCTGAAGCATCATAAATAGAATGAAATGAACATTCTGGATCTTATTGCCAACCATAAATCTATTCATTTTGCACATTTTTTTCTTAAAAACAAAATAGCGTTTAATCATAAATAATTTGAAGGTATCCAAATGTAAATAAAAATTTTGTTTCACTTTTTTACTTATCGAATAAGCAAACCCCGTATAATTTTATTGATATCAAGGAAAGGAAATTTATATAAGCAGTCAGTTACATAGACGTAAACGAATATTAGGTCCAGATACACGATAAATGAATGGAAGAAACAAGTTGAAAAAGAGGGTTTGGATTCAAATTAACTTTTTTCAAATGGTTGGCGATGAACACTAAATAATTATGTTCTGTTTTTCAGTTCATTCTATATACTTTGTAGGAAAGCCACAAAATGGTTTCATTGAAATTCAACAATATTACTTGAGATCGGCATCTTTCTATACATACGTAATATCTGTTTTAAGGTTACAAGGATTATAGAGGTTTATTTGGTCATTAAGGCTACTTTACGACAGCAAATTTTTACACCTATTGTGGTAAAGATGAACTAATCAGGCAGAAAATAAACATGAGTTCTTTACGGAGCATTTATAATTTGTAGTTCACATAACAGATTGAATAACCAAACAAAGCTTTAAAACCAGGGAGAACTAATTCATACTACTATAAAACTTCCCTATACTGCGTAGCTAAAACCCTGGTATGGGACGAATCTAAGACCTCCTGATCTTGTGAGGGGTGCACTAATTTTAGACCGTCAACTTGCCATTTAAAGGTTAGTAGTTTTAAAGTTAGTCAGTTCGTGATATTGAGCAACTAAAACACAACAGTTAGGAGTTTAACAAAAACAACAGCAACTTCCTAACCTATAGAAAGTCCTCACAGTTTATACCACGTACTGATCCTAGTCAGACAACCGTTGGAAACCAAGAAGCAGGAATCATGTACTCACTAGTGACTTACTTCAAGAGGTAAACCCCTGAGTTCCATTTAGAAACCATCACTAGTAGAATTCAACCATGTCAAGAATGAGACAATTATCCACCGAAGACATCTAAGATTGCTGTTCATTACTGTAAACTGTCTGAAGTTGGAATTGCAAACTGTTGAATGACGGTCCAGCGGTTCAAAAAATGACCGTTCGCTACGAGATCTGAAGATCTTAGATTCAACATCGATTGCTGGGGTTGTGGGTCCACACCGTTGAGAGATTCTGTACTGAGACAGAACAGCCATCCAATGCCTTTTGATTTTCAGTAGTTGTCTAAGGTTAAACTATGAAAGTCAACAACTTCCACAAAATCTTTCAAGATATCTGAAATCACTTTATTTTTGACAATCATCTTCAAAATGTATAATCAAATTCACTCATTTTCTGCATGCCACCAAATTAGGCTAGTCTCACAATCTGAAAAAGATGAAAGGTGTGTTTTTTAGGTGTTTTAAAAAAGTAATGTTATGAATGTGAAATTTTTAAATTATGACGATAAAAATTAAAGAAAATCATTGTTTAGTGAAAACAAATAAATCCGAGAAACACGTTAATAATTTTATGATGGTTTTTTACACCTCGTCTAATCAACCAAAAACATAGTCGTTTTCTCCCATGATAAACAAATCAGAAAACATTTCAAATAAAACTTCAAAAGCTTGGATAAGATATGGAGGCCCCTTCAGACAGCTCAAATTAGAAGCCAGTTAAATTCACATTTCTATTAAATCCCTTACGAATCATATGATGGATTTATCAACAACATAGTACCTGAAATGGCTGTGTTTTCACTTTACGTTCGCTTATTTTGTTATCTAGGAAAGATCCTTATATTCATCTGTTATTGAGGTAAAAATCGAACTCTATTACAATGTAAAAGTTGAACAATAACCTTCAACAAATAATTTTAAATAGGTTTATTCTAATAACTTAATATTTTTCAAATTATCAATAAGTGTATTATAATCAGTCAAAGTTATTTACTGATTGTATGACTGAATAGTACTAACTAGATGATACCTATAACAAACGTTGTTAAGGAAAAGTTACTGAAATTTAAACCTACTATTTACAGTCTACAGAGTTAGCTTCATTAATTTACCATATACAAATGACTGGCTGGTTTATTTTCAAGCGAGAAAAAAATATATTAATTTAGTATTCCTGAAATTAAATATTAAATAATATATTAGTCTGATGAACACGGATAATTTAATGAATTATGCAATAGGTCGTGGTACAGAACTAAAGAAAATATTCATAATTAACGATTTATCTCATTGAACATTTATGATACAACCATAATGACATCATTGAAGTGGGATGACTACTGTTTAAACTGCTTTTTTATGATTAAGATCGAGTGGTGATTTGGGAATTTTTAATTTCAAGTTAGTTTACTTCATGTACCGAATTTAACCAGTTAGAAAAAGAAAATTAATAAGAACGAGAACGTTGTTTTCAGTGTTACTAAATGACCAACACTCTATATCACTAATTCACCGAAATTGGAAATATTTACTACTGCAAAAAATGATTTATGAATGAATGTAAATAGAGTATTATGTAATATGTATTATAACCAACGCTTAAATCTATATAATACCGAACACTAGACAAATATTTCAAAAAACAGATCTATGGAAAAATATGCAGTCTACTACTATTGACTTTAGAATAATGTAAAAAGATTTATTTCATTTTACTTAGATACTAATCAGAACCATACATGAATGAACAAACATTATTTACAACAAATGAAAAAACCATCAACATTTTGTACTTCAGAATTACTGATTACAGACATAGTAATTACAGAAGGAGCAGCAGTGATTGAGCGAGAAGAAGGAAAAGGAATAGAAATAGATGGAATGGATTCTTTCCAATTTAAATATGGTTGACGATCGACATAGACACTTTGTATTTTAATGTTACTATCAAGCTACAACAATTTCATATTTCAAAGTTGAAGCATTATAGTGAAATAGATTTTTCAACTGTTAATACATTCACGAACACGTTATTATACAGAGAAATCAATCGGCAATAAAATAAGAGAACTGGTCCGCTTTAATAATACTGAATGTTAGGTTCTGTATTAGAACTATTATACATTGATCCTGATTGTTTTACTACATTCAACTGAGTGGATTACAGTCAGATTGTGAGAGATCGAAGCGCAAACACATGAATGAAATATTTAACTTAATAAACTATAAAAAAGGTCAAACAAAATCTGTTGACAGATTAAAGTCATTAAAGAATGGATGGTGACGTTAGAAGTTTGTTAAATACTAAGAAGTAGAGTCTTTACTGAATAGCAGTACTGATAGATATATCATACATTAGCGTATACTAGTCCAGATAAATATGAGTCCAATGGTGATAATAATTTTGAAACCATCGGAATTTTGCAAATAACTGATTACTTATTAGTTATTACATTCAGTAAAGAAACAAAGCACTTTAACAGGAAGTCCAAGTTCCTGAAGTCGTTTGAAAAACAAATAAAAAAGTCATTCTGACTTCGAATTTTAAATAAGTAAACATCCAGCTAATCAAAATTATTATACTGACTTTAGAATTTTCTACATAGCTAATTTGATTTAGAGATTTAAATCGGATACATTTACTTTAAAAGTTCCGCAAGTGAGAGATATTTAAAAAGTCAGATAACTGTCGAAAAAACCAGACTGTCTCTACATAAACTACTTAATTACTTAATTCAATTAAATAAAAGATTGTAATTGACTATTGGTACCTAGAAGATAAATTGAATTTATGTCATATATCACAATGTCATTGAATTTAGCTGTTGTATCGCTCAGTTTTCAGTGAATCAATGATCTACTCATAATCAAGTTACTTAAAAGTCGTGTTTTATTCTAAGATATCAATTCTATTATAGACAGAATGCATCATAATGATTTACTTTATTCTCAAACATGTTTATTATACATTAATTCGTTTGCTTGAATAAACAACTATCCATGATATATATAAATACGTGTAAACAAAAATATGCAAGTGTGAATAGTTTATACTTTTCATGTATTGTTGCATTATTTCTGTTCAATAATTAATGAGGCGAATAAACTTCTTACGAATAAAAAACAATTAATGAGATAAATTAATAATATTTGATCGAAAATTCAACTTATGCTAACATTAATAATATAGGCAAAGATGGATAGTGGCTAAGAGTGGAATCCAAGACGCTCGTTTCGTCCTATTTGGGGCTCGTCAGCAGGATGTACCTGGATCTCAGACTTGATGTTCACTCCAGGACTCGAACCCAGTATCATTCGCTTCAAACGCCGTCGCGTTATCCACTTAGTTACTGAGTTCTGATGGCCACTTGCTTGTGCAATAGGGTGAATTTAAATTCACTTGATATTGTTTTGCTTGTATCTTCCTATTGAGGTTTAAGACTGCAATTGATCAGTCTGTTATTGGCATATGTGCATACTGTGCGTATGCTTCGATATTGCCTTAATTCACAAGCTTTTATAAGCAAAGATGGATGGTGGCTAGCAGTGGAATCCAGGACGCGCGTTTCGTCTTATTTGGGACTCGTCAGCTGGATGTACCCGCATCTCAGAGTTGATGTTCACTCTGGGACTTATAAAAGCTCTACTTGCAACTACAAAAGTAGACTAATTCAAAATGGTTTACACAACGATACTCTGACTAACATCATTTCATGATGTACAATGTAAATGCATAGGAAATAGTCTACATTTAGTCGAAATTGTTGAAAATTTCATTTCAAATCAAATCATTGTACCGTTCAATTTATAATTATAACTTAGTCTCAAACTATTCACGTTAACTGCAATAAGGAATATTTTGGCTAAATATTTGTTTATTAATATTTGAACATAACATTCCATTCTTCTAGCTCAATCAGAAAAAGAACGGCAGTTTTTTTGTATTAACCTACCACAGTGATAACTATTTTAAACTATTATTTTCATAAATTAACATTTCTGTAATATAATAAAATGAGTATGCACCCAAACAAACACACCCGTATTTAGTCTTGCTTTTTTAAACTTGTGTGGACCATACTGTAAGTTAAATTTACTGCTATAGAAAGAAAAAGAGATTGAAACAAAAGGTACTGCATACAGCAGAAAAATTCTATCAATTTGTATATAGATGAAGTAATTCATTATTAAAGTGTAACAAAAAATCCCAACCAAGTAAACTAAAATGATCATAGCGTAAACTATGAACAGTATACAACCATATATACATGCAGTCAGAAGCCCCGTATCGTATAAAAAATTTTCTAAAAAGTGTAAACCATAAAAAATCATTTAAATCAGCCAGTGTTCTAGAATTTGAAGTATCTTTATTCAGAAGAGTTGTGACGCCTGATGGTAGGAACCAAGACTCTTCGGAAGTCACGAGGCCGATGCCCCCTTCTATCAAAAAGAACAACACAAACACGTGGAACCTCCGAAAAATGTGAGAAACCATTCAAATAGCCTCATAAGTGAAAGGTTACAACCTAATGGTGCTCAAAATAGGTGAATCTCATCGGATGCAAGCTGGACAGAAAAGGTTGGCTTTGGGAGAGGTGATATTGCACGCTGATCATGAAGAAGGAAATGCCACACACACACAAGGAGTTGCGCTGATGCCGTCCAAAGAAACACGAAGAGCACATTCAGGGTAGGAATCTCATGGATCCAGAATTATCGAATTACCCTTCAAAATAAAGAACGAGGTGATTACATTAAATGTTATGCAGTACGAGGAGTCCACCAATGAAAGCAAGGAAGATGATAAAGACCAGTTTTATGAGAGGCTACAGTCAATCTTCAAGAAGTGCTCAGGGAATAATCTGACCATCCTGATGAGAGACCTAAACGCCAAGGTCGAAATGGACAACGTCGGGTGCGAAGATATCATAGGACGACACGGGCTAACTGAGAGACGGGAAGGAGGATGACGAGAGATTTGAAAATGTGAATGCATTCAACAAATTAGTAATAAGTGGCACAATATACCTCACAAACGCATGCGCAAAGCCACATGGGTTTCACTCGATCACACTACATAGAACCAGATTAATCATATTTGCACCAGTAAAAAGTTCAAAAGGTCAATAGAAGACGTGAGAACCAGGAGAAAAGCTGACATGGCTTCAGATCACCACCTGATTGCGGTCATGATGAGACTGAATCTAGAGCAGCACTGGACAACTGGAGAAACAGAGTTTCAAAATTTTAACACTGCCTCTCTTTGAGATACTGACAAACTCAACGAGTCCAAGATAGCTCTCATCAATTAGCTCCAGACCATACAAAATCGACTGGGAGAATGAACTAATACAGTGAAGGAACCAGCAGGGAAATGTAGCAAACCAGAGAGACCAGTCACCATAGAGAATGCAAACCAGTTACTGG